TATATATATATATATATATATATATATATATATATATATGTGTGTGTGTGTGTGTGTGTGTGTGTGTGTGTGTGTGTGTGTTGGTTTTTTGTTTTGTTTCCTGTGAATATTATGTAACAATAGGGACAATTTAATGACAATTAATAAATTTTAGGTTTCGTCATGCAAGAGGTTCAGCTAATTCTGCAGTAGAATGTGCTTGCACAAGGTTCCTTGTTATGAGTTAAGGCAATGATATTACAGACAAGTTTAGTACAAAATTAATAAGAGATGTATATAACATGTTTGTCTGATCTCCTATCCAGTTCAACACGTTATACGTATCATCAGCTTTCAACTTTATTTTTGCAGTGGGGCACTTGAGACTTACAAAATAGCGCATCTCAGCCCCGATTCACCAACTTAAGAATATAAGCATAAGAACTAAGAAGTGTAAGCAGATCTTTATCTACCAAGTATTTACATAAAAGGGGGTTTACCTTCGACCAATGACAGAACCCTGAAATTGAGTCAGATTTAAGTATAGCTTGCGTTTTGCGCTTTCCATTCATTTATAGAACAAAAGACAGTCATGAAAGCAGCGGCTTTGAACTCTAAAACATAAATAAATTCCAATATGCCTTCGACGCAGACAGAATATCAAAATAAGAAAAGAAAATGATCAAATGACAAAGGTATAGAGAGTATTGGTGTACTCAGCTACTCCACCTCTAAAGCCCATATAGAAGCTTCATCCTTGGTGACCATAGCCTCCACAAGGGGTACCAAAATGCAGTTCTATGTGCAGTTAACGGGCTCAGTCCTGTCCTGCACAGCAAGTCCTTCAGAAACATCAGCAAGCGATTTGAGATTGCAATTGATAAGTGCATCAACAAAGTAGCAAGTTTCATCCTTGGTGTTCCCTTCAGGCACGTCCACAACATACGATTCAATCACCGTGGTCCCAGGTCTGCCTTCAATGACCTCTGGATGAACAGATATGGTGGAAGAGTAGTTCTGAAAGAAAAGTTTAGAAGAAAAATGTTATCCACGTTAAGGAAGAAACATGTGCTGATGTCTATTAGGCCTATACATATGTGCATGTGCGTGTCTGTGACTGAGTTCGTGCCTGTAAAACGATAGTTTAGTCAGGGCCACCAGTTTTAGGCACACATATGGTATGCTAAACTGGTTCCAGGCACCATAAAACCTGTCAAGATTTAAGTGTATCAATCAATGTAAACAATTTCCAGTTTCTTTTCACTGCCAGTCCCTGATTCTGGCCTTGCTGTAACATCGTAGCCAGAGTAGCTTTCTATTAAGATTTGACCTTCCCTGACCAATGACATTAACACCAGCCAAGCAGAAATATGTCTATCAATAACACTAACAAGAAGTTAAGACGTTTCCTAATGAATTCGAACTTGGCCATACTCCATTTCTGCTGCTCCAATTGATCATGCACTACAAGTACTTTTAAGGTCCAACAAACTCAGATCTTTTGCAAACACCTCAAATATTGATAAAAATAAAAAATAAAAAATAAAAATTGATTTACCCTCTGTTCTAACAAGTTGCACTAAAATTTCGATGTTCTTGTGAATGGGAATTTCTTTGTCCAGTCAAGACACATCCTAATTATTTAAGTTTCCTATTAATTTATTCTTAAATTTTGTTGTATCTATTTTTTGTCTAATAGTCTCTTTTCTATATTTTATATATTTAGTATGGTCAAACATTCATTTTAACATTCTCAATTCCGCTGTGTTCATCTCATAGAAATTGCTGTTTGAACAAGTGTTATGAAATACCTATCATTCCTATATATTTCCACACTTCGATAGGGATTACATTTAAACTGCTGATTTCTCATCTTGATTCTCTTCATAGCCTCCCCTCATTCCTGAGACCTGATGTTTTGGTATATAAAATTTAATCTTTTTTTAAATAAATAAAATAAAATAAAAAAAAAAAACCAGCCATCCACAGTATGTATTTTTCTAAATAATTTGTTGATGTAATTCTTCCACGTGTCTGTAATTTCATCATCTGAAACTCATTCAATTGATCTCTGCTTCTGCTTTTCCATCGTTATCTCAACAAACTTTCTTCCTATCACTGATACCAAGATATCTATACTTCTCATACTCTTCCACCCACAACTCTCGAATCACCCTCTATGCTCCCATTTAGCTAACATATGTTTCAATGAATGTCTATAACATTATGCGTCAATCTAAATATGGTCTAAACCTTCTTCCAATCCAACACTTCATTTCCTTTTGTGTTAAGGTTCTAAGTTCTCTTAATGCTTCTTTGCAGGTTCATAATGCCTAGCAGAAGTATCAATAAGTTTAAACATCAGCTTATATCAAACTGTGCTGAATCTTTCATGAAAAATGAAACACACGTTTCAAAAAAAAACATAAGGTACATAAAAAGACAACGAGATTAGAACTTTTTGAGTGTGTTCTCAACAAATTTTGTGACTGATAGTACAAAATTTTGCTACGAAGTAGTAGAAAAAATCATAGAAACTAATATAATGCACATCAAAATGAAACTTCAAGGAACTGTTAAAACCACAAGAACTAATTAATCACTAAAAGTAACTCACATATATGTGCTAATACCTAAAGGAGAATAACCTCATTTACTCAAATTCTGAATCCTTCTAATAAATCAGTTCAGTAATACATCATAGAAGATCCAAATCTGTAAATTATATTCATAGAAGAAACAAATTAGAAAGAACCGGGAGATTCTAGTAAAAAGAAAACGGATAACATACTCTGAGTCTGTGGTCTCCACCAATAATCTTGAAACTGAGTATGTGCTCTTCATCATCGAGAAGTTCTAATCTCTCGGTGCTAGTAGTGGCAGGAAGACCTGACTTCACATCAACTTCCCTCAGACTGCCAATTTCAAGATTCCCCTGCGCAACACACCGGCTTACAAATGGCTTGTACTTATGTGGTTGATCAAACCTCCTCACCAAAGACCAGACCTAATCGGAAGAAACAATGCACTGCCTATTGTTACAGATATAGTAAACTATGGAACATAACTAAAGGATAATAACACATTCATCGATGGCATTGAGAGTACTAGTATGTAATCAAATTTGTAGATCTTGTCATTCCAGATTCATCTAAAAGAAAATTACTACAAGCTCTCCTCGTGCATTTTCACAAAAATGGATTAAATAAGCCCTTTCTTCGAACATCTTGTTATCCCGGGTTTCAGCTACGTTCAAAGTCCGGAAAATCGAGATTCGTAAAAAATTTATTCGAAAGCTTGCACTTATTATAAACATCAGACAAAAAAATTTCCATTTTGTTTCATTCCTCGTTTTGGATCCATAGACAAACAGAAATTAGAAATAAAGAAAACTGGAATCTCGGATGAAGAATGATGTGGATCAAACCAGTCACCTCCGGTTAGACCCCCATGATCAGACGTCATAGCTTCATCCCGAACCGTTAGATTTCAGCAATATTTTTCATCAACCCATCAAAATCCATCCATAAAACAAAATCCTCAATCAAACATTTACTCGCACATAATTACTTTATACTCATGCACACCCGCATATATATATCTATACATACATATATACGAGAAATTAAACAGAGAAAAAATATTACCAGATGAACAGGGGCTTTGATGTTCTTGATTAGAAAGGAACTACACTGATTATCCTTGACCCCATGGTTATGGTGCTTTCTCACGTACTCTATCTGAACTCCGCTCAACCCTCTCCCGTTCATTGTCTTCTTCTGCTTCTTCGCTCGGTCGCCGGAATACTCCCCCTCTGATCACCGGAAAACACTCAACTCAGCCCTCGACAACGTGCTAGTTGACTCAGTAGAGGTCGTGTTGAGGGAACACCGCCATTTTAGGTAGTACAGTCGTCGTAACTACACAGCCTGCCGCCTCATCATCATCGATTCTTCTTTCAAAATAAAGATATAAAAATACATCTCTCCTTTTACCAGCCGGCATTTGTTTATATTTACGTATAGACCCTTATATTTTCAATTTATTCTTAAATGGTCTCATTTTCAGGATCTCCCAATATTTTTGTCTTGTCTAACTTAATTATTGACTAATAATGTATAAATATCTATAGATAATTGTGCCAATTGTAAAAGTTACAATCGCAATAATAAATTAAGTTTTATGCTTTGTAAATTAAGTTGAATTCTTACTTAGCTTTATATTCAATTTTTATGCTAGTACTGAAATAAAAAAAGCATTTCATCCTCTTAGAGTTTGTTTGGGAGTGATTTTGAGAATTGATTTTTTTATTATTATGAAAAAAGTGGGATTTATCTGTGAGAGAAGAAATCAAATATGACGACTAGAATAGTGAAATAATGTTCAAAAAATCAATTTTTTGGGCCAAAAAATCACTCTCAAACAGGTTGTTAATCTCTATATAAATTATTGGATTGAGCATTTTCTCTTTATAGAGCGAAACATAAAGACGTGAGTTTAGAAACAAATGCTTAGCTATAGTGAAATTTATTATTTAAATAGATGTGACTCGAAGTAAACCATTCCAAATTGTGATTTTCCACATTGTATTTTGCTTTTTCGATCGCATGTATCAAGTGTTTAATCCAAAAAATATTGCACAATAATATTTATGCACTGCTTTTTCGACTATTTTAGGTAATTATTATTTGGAAGTTCACGTATTGGGCATGATAAGCATAAAAAAATTTAATTTATGAAAAGCAATTTTTTAGAAAATGTATAATTAAAAGATAAATAAAATTTATAGGTACATGTGTAAAATTATTTTATTAAGAGAATATATTGTTGAACGTAAATTTTGAAAGAGATTATATAGGACAAAGAAGCTTCAGAGCTCGGGATTTAATCCCGGGTTCTGCTCCAGGGCGAGGTGTCAACATCTCGATCTTGTATTATATGGGGTACGTTGAATTCAAATCAGGGGCTGAGGTCACGCCGTCTCGATCCCCGGAGCCAATTCCAAGATTTAATTCCACGAGTCCCAACATTTTTCAATAAAGAGTATGTTACGGCCTTATTTGTAATAGTTTTATTGTTTATGTTAAATTGTGAGTTGTGAGTGGTTGGTTTTGAATATCCTGGCATGGGGATGAACTTCTGTGATTTTTGCAGTCTTCTTGTCCTTTACGGTAAAGCAATACCCTTGTAATTTTATTTATTTACAGTTATGGTATTAGTTTTGTCTTCATTTTGTTTGTTTACGGTTAAGACGTTTTTACGCTGAAAAATATCTTAAAAAGGAAATTTATCTTTGTCCTTTTCCGTCAGAAGTTGCTGTGTGGTTTTTATCGGGCGTACGGAGGTTCACGATAACAGCGTAGTCCTTTTTCGTTTCTTTTTCATTGGTTCTCATCATGAAAAGTAGCTATGAGGAATGAGAAAAAAAACTTGATCCGACTCGACCCTAATGAGGCAAAAAAATCAGTCCCGAACAGGTTGGTGGGACGGGCCGAGGACCCGAACCCGTCCCTTGAAGAAAAAAAATTAAAAATAATTTTATTTTTAAATAATTCACCTATTAAAAACTCATTTTGAATTTGTATTTTATTCTCTAATAATAATATAATTCGAAATTTTGAAAATGTAAAAAAAATAAAAATTTAAACAGGGCAACAAAAGGGACAAAAAGTGGCCCGACTCGAACTCACCCCGTTGCCATCAGTAGCTATGACTTATGGGTTAATTGTGTATTATCTTGCTTTATTTATATAGAAATTAAGAAAAAATAAATATCAATTTAAATTTGCAAGAAAACATTATTTGTGTCCATGTTCCATTTCAATTCCATGGCCATTTTACTCGTGTTGAAATTAAGATTTCTAATTTTCTACAACGAAATGTTAATGAGTACCCAATTTTCTTGTAATAGAGGACCATACTCCTATCTAGATAATGTTAGAGTTTTATTTTTATTTTCATCATAATTCTCTCTCAAATTAAGTATTGCATATGTCACGCCCTTCAAACAACAATTTAATAGTCGTCCTCTTGAAATCAAATAAGATCATGAGATTGATCAATATCTTCCTATTCCTCTCCCTCTACATACGGAAAACAATTACCTTAAAGTCAACTATAGATTTTTATAGTTATTATAGCCAATTGACATCCATGCGTTCCTTGAAAATATCTTTTCGACACATTGGAACTAATCTTTAGGTGGGTTTGTCACCCAAAGATCTTACCAGATCAATGGGGGCACGTGAGTAGATGGAAAGCAGCCATTGTATTAGATAGTGGTACCATACAACCCTCAAGGGTCTTTTTCATGCATTAGTTGTCACTGTAAAAGAATGCGCTTTACATTTATAAATTAGATGAGTGACATAAGAAATTAAATTCAAGTATTATTTATTTATTATGATTTATATACATTATACTTTATATAACAATATTATTATATACAATAAACAGAGTAAACGCGCAATATTCAAATGATATATTGCTAATGAAGGGAAAAAAATTACGAATGTGTATAATTTAAAACTTCATTACAAGTTGAATATTTATTAGCCACATAAAATAATTAGTTTCCAACCACAAGAAAGAGCATTGCCTAATTAATTTTCCTAATTAATTTTCATCTTCGAGAAGTTTAGAAGTTTGACTAATTCATTTAAAATATATATATATTAGAATGTGTACATATGAAGGACAACTTAGTTTTTCATTCAACCCTGTTTCCAATCTCATTGATTTGACAAACATTGATTTGACAAAGTAAACGCTAAAAATGATATAAAAGGAGTCAATTAACATTAGAGATAATTGAAGTAGAAGTTTCAAACCTTTGAAATACTAGCAGAGTTTCTTCAAACCTTTCATTTACTGCAGTCATCACCCCCTAACATTTTTAATTGTTGCAGGTGAGACCCTCTTAAATGATTTCCATCCAAAATACCGTCAGTTGACCATCAAAATAAGTTTTGACCCCTTTCTACCAAAATAGGGGAGGGCAAATGGTAATTTACTATTTTCCCCATAAAATTAGTTAAAAACTTAGATAAATTTTTTTTATATATAATCGTCTTTCTCACCCCAACCTCTCAACCCAAAATCAAAAATCTGTCGCCACCACGCCTACTGCCATTGACCACCACCACCGTAAACATAAAGTTCTTGTTAAATCAAGAACTGTCGCTTCAATAAATGAAAAATCATCATAAAGAAAACGCCCAAATGGTGCTGCAAACATTTCGCTTCTTTAACCACCACATTACCACCTCCAAAGCCATTGGAAAATACCCCCACACTGATGGTATCACACCCTCAACACTTGCAGAGAAAAATATTATTTATATTTTGGGAAGCGGCTCATGTATGTCTTGGTGAAAAATTACATTTGTAGAGAATTGGTTCTATGGAATCTATACTATGTTATCCTTGAAATCTTGTGATTTGGTTTTATACGTTTCAGAACAGAAGACCTGAGGCTAATGTGTTGGCCTTATCAGGTATTGCAACATGTCCTCCTGCAATTGCAATTTATACTACATATGTATTTGGGGATTTATCTCTTATCCATAGTTATTAGATCTGATCTGATCATTGACTCAGATAAGTCATCGGGTCACCGAGTTACTAGTTCAACTGGTGGATCAATGGTTCGGCCTTTGGGTTATTGCTTATTCATAGATTCAAAAAAAAAGTATTTTTTAATTGAAAATTTTATATTTTTAAGGTTATTTTTATAAAAATGTTGTATACTTATTTATGTTATTATTACTCTTAAAATTAAGCAAATTTTATCGATTATAAAAAATTTTAAAAAACAAACAAAAATTTTAAATACATAAAAAAAAGTCAATAAAAATAAAATTCTTAAGCTTCTATATATGTTTGCTAATCCTCAAAATTAGCAGAAGTTAAAATGGCATAGTGGCTAGCAAGAGGGTTTATTATAAAGTTTGTACAGGTTTGAATCCAAACACTTGAAAACTTTTGTACATACTATATGGTGTTTGCAGTATGGGCCTGATCGGGCCAGGGTGATCTCCGAATTTTATTAAAACAGGATGGTTCAGACAGTTTTAGATTGGTTGTTATTAGTTCTTGACTAGTTCATATGCTTTCTGGTCAAAATGTGCAAACTGACCCGACTCTCTATCTGGTTTGACGGGTTTCGGGCTGAACCAATTTTAATAAATGTGCTCTTATCTCTATATGTATGTGTCTATACATGTATTCGAGGGGTGTGAATGGACAGTAGATTCTGGGTGTGCTGACGGTTGGCAATTTGATGTGGTGGTGACAATGCAATGTGGCGGCGAGTAGTGGTGGTGGTGGCCTATGGGAAGTGACAATAGGTGTTGGGCAAAGGTTGAAGAACATTAAGGAGTTTTTATTTTAATATTTTGGTTTTCCAATTTAATTTCTATTTTTCCCTTTTAAAATTGAAGAGACGATTTTACCATCTCCTATTTTGATTAAAGTGGTTAGATTTTAATTTTAGTGGTCAACTAACAGTAGACGAGACAGTTTCCATCCATTTGAGCCTCATGTGCAACTGTTGGAATGTTATAGATGACGACTACAACAAATGAAAAGTTTGAAAAAAGTCTGCTCGTATTTCAAAGGTTTAAAGCTTCTGCTACAATTATCCCTTAATTTTATTATCAATTAAATATGTAAAAGAAAACCGATAAAAGATATAGGGAAATTGGTACATATGGTCCCAAACCTATGAATATATTGCATAAATGGTTCTTACCTTTCAAAAGTGGCTCAAATGAAGCCGTTCATTTTCATTTCTTTGGTGCAAATGGTCTTCTTGAATGGGGTTCCATCCAAAATAACCGTTAGTTTGGCAAGCAGACATTACTTTCTTTTAAGGCAAAATTGTATATGTGATCCCAAATGAGACAAAAATATCAATCATGTCCCTCACCTTTTTTTTAACCAGTAAGAGATTAAAAGCAAGTCCATCTTATTAATAGA